TTAGAAACTTGGAGTATAACAAGCCTCCCAAAACCCAAAACCCTAAACCCTGTTCGAACTACCAGGCCCAAAATTAGGATAAGTGGCGTTTAGCGCATGGTTCTCGGTAGGGCTGAAGACGCCAGGAAGAGGGATCATACGTTGATGCTGCCCCCACTCAGCAAAAGTCGCATGATTTTTCTGATTTTTCTAATGGAGATGATTACGCGGCCCATGATGATAGCATCCTGATGAACGGACTGTGACTGCATAGGGGCAGTACTCACGTCATATTAGCGATTCAGATGGTTCTAAACCCCGAACCCTCAACCCTAAACCGCCGGGTTACAGACCCCAGATGCTTGAATCATTCAAAGCCAACCCATAAACCCCAAAGCCCCAGCCCTCAACCCTAGGCATTCGGACTCTAAAGCCTCAACCCCGAAGCCCGACCCGGACCCCAAGTAACCCACCTTTGAAAGGACTTCTGTAAGGAAATCATAAGAGGGAGCCCTAGAATAAGGTAGGATTTACAGGATCTAGGCCTAAACCCTAAACCCTAAATCCCTAAACAGCCCTCAACTCCAGGCCTCTATTCCGTAGGCTTGATTCTTATACTAAAAACAGGGTTTGGGGTATATTCTGCTATATTCTGCTCGAATCATAATAAGGAACCTCCAAAAGCCCTATTCTAACTACAGTTCCGAGGGTTGAGGATGCAAGGCGCATGTGAGACTGCCGGGTTCCCTTTTCCCGTGGAAGAAATTCTTAGGGTTTAGGGTTTAGGGTTTAGGGTTAAGGCAGTAAGAAGGTTTGGGGGGTTCAGGGCTTAGGGTTCGAAGGCTCCTAGACCCCCCTACCCTCTAATATACGTTAAATACCCACTATTAAGGACCATAAGGGCTCTATTCAGGGGCAGTTGGGGGCTCCTTTGGGGTTTGGGGCTGTAGGGTTTAGGCTCTGCGGCTTTTGGGTTGAGGTTGGGTGACTGAGGGCCTGCAACCCTCAACTTTACGCCCTTCACCCGTGTACTTCAGGCGTTAGGGCGGGTGCATGGTGGGGAGCCTTATACCCCTAAGCCTGAACCGAGGGTTTAGGGTTTAGGGTTTAGGGTTTAGGGTTTAGGGTTTGGGGAACCGGTAACAGCATAGTCAGCTCGGCGGGTGGGAAAAAAAGCCCGGTAACAGCAGGGGCATGAGACACGCCTGAAAGCTGGGACGTCGTGACTTGTGCGAGCGTCTGAGTCGAAACCGTTGAACCCCTAAAGTTCGGCAGCGCCAGGAACTTCGAGGAGATTATGGACCGAAGGTCCAGCAAGCAGCTTGGCAGAAGCTGGGGTTCAGGCGTTGAGTCTTAGGGTTATGTAGGGTTTGGCGTTTAGGTGTGGGCTTGGGGTTAAAGATTGAAGGTGTCGGGTTCGGGGTTGTTGGGGCTTACTCGGGCGCCGAATCTAGGACCGGCACGCGCGTAGCCACATCCCAAGAGACGTACGGCAGAGACATATAGAGAGCTCACGGCATAGAAACGGTTTGGGCTTGCGTATTTCAGGCTCCCCAATCGAATTTGCTTTCTGCCCATTATCCTCGACGGGCCGAAGTCTAAGCCCTAAACCCTCCACCCTTGCCCTCAACGAGCAAACATAAAGCCCTGCACCCAAAAGCACTGAAGCCAAGTGCCCCAGACCAACCCAAAGCCTTAAATCAGAATACCCTGAAGGGGCGCTAAACGATCAAGAAACCTAAACAACAACCCCAAACCCCAAGCCTTAGCCATTTCCTAAACCCAAAACCCTAAACCTTAAACCCTTAACCTTTTATCCCTAAACCCTAAACCCACGGCTCATGGGAAAAGGGAGTCTGCCGAAGCTTGGGTTTGAGGCTTTGGGTTCAGAGCGCAGGGTTTTGGGTTTAGGGTTTCGGGTTTTGGGTTTACGGTTTCGGGCTTCGGGTTCAGGGTAGTTTAGGGATTAGGGTAGTTTAGGGTTTAGGGTTTCGGGTTTAGGGTTTAGGGTTTCGGGTTTCGGGTTTAGGGTTTAGGGTTTAGGGATACCGGGTGAGGGTTGCATGGGCGCTGGCCGGCACCTCAGTCCGTGCTGAAAAGGGTTTCGGGTTTAGGATTTCGGGTTTAGGGTTTCGGGTTTAGGGTGTCGGGTTTCGGGTTTAGGGTTTCGGGTTTGGGGTTTAGGGTTTCGGGCAATGATGGCAGTCATCAAGTCCGGTTTCAAAAGCGTTTCGGGTTTAGGGTTACACGGTTTCGGGTTCAGGGTTTCGGGGTAACGCGCTTGATACAGTATGTCATACTAGGGTGTTATAGTAGGCTCTGTGGGGTTCCACAGGGGTTTCAGGCTTCAGGGCATGTTTTTTTTCTTTTTTTTTTTTGGGGGGGGGGGGGGTGGGGG